GCAGAGGAGTAAGACCCAGGCCCTCACCTGCGCAGGCTGCGCCTGGGTGGGCCCGGCAGGGGAGGCCTTACAGGGTGAGCAGGGTGTCCACGGATGAGCAGGAGGTGTGACTGTCCCTGGCTTGAGGGTGGAGCCAGTGCTGGGGCTGCCTGGTCCGCGGCCAGTCCTGCAACACTCTGCTCAGGGAGGAGCTGGGTCCTGGCTGGCGCTGGTGCACCCCCAGACACGTGGAAGTGTGCCTGAGTGTGGGGGTCCTTGTCATGGTGACCACGGGGATGTGCCTGGCATTCAGAGGGGAGCAGCCACAGAATGTCAGTGCTCTGCCACTTGTGGCTCCTGCCCGATAGTGGTGGCCCAGGCGAGGCTGGAGCCCGGAGGGAGGCCTGGCCAAGACGAGGGCTCGTGTCGTTGCGCAGCCGTCACAACCATCCGCCCACAGAGAGTTTTCCGTCTTCCCAAACCTAGTCTGTGTCCCTACTAAACACTAATTCCCCAGCCCCTGGCACCCCCACCCTACTCTTTGTCTCTGTGAATTTGATTCCTCCAGTGACCCCATAAAAGTGGAATCACACAGGATTTGAGCATCATGTCCCTATGGTGCGCCGTGTCACAGTGTGTGGCCAGATTTCCCTCCTTGTTGAACTTGAATACGGTTCTGTGTATGCATAGACCACGTTTTGCCGTGCGTCTGTTGGTGGGGCTGGGTTGTTTCCGCCTTTTGGCTAATGGGCATAGTGTTGCCCTGAATGTGGTGTGCAGACATCTGTCTGAGTCCTCGCTATCACTTCTTGTGGGGACACACCCAGAAGTGGAATTGCCAAATCATGTGATAATTCTAGGTTTAAGTTTTTGAGGCACCGCCACACCGTTTTCCCTGCTTCTGCCGCAATTTACATTCCCACCATCCGCGCATAGGGCTCCGGTTTATCCACGTTCTCCATAACACTCCAGTGGGTATAGAATGGTTGGATGAAATTTGAAACTTAATTTCAAATAGAACTTGTTTCATTGAATTTTGCTTCTTTCTAACACAATGCTGCACGGAGATGCAATTAATCAGTCTGTGTTCTGCTAATCGGAACCCTGTGCATGGTATTGTCGCCAGAGGCTGGGTTAGCTGCTGACTTTCTGATTGAAAGTTTGTGCAAGGCAAGTCAGTGCTGTCTGCACAGAAGCTTTCTAGAACCTTCTCAGCATGAAAGTCCTCCAGATGCCTCCAGACTCTGTCCCTGGCAGGACTTCCAGCGTGTGATCTTTGTCAACAAAGGGTGATACGCTAATATTTGCTCTGTGAGGAGCTCTCACCAGTGGCAAGCATCAGGGCACTCCGGGTTATTTAGGGACTAACTTCTTTTTTTTGAGACAGAGTCTCACTCTGTTGCCTGGGCTAGAGTGCCCCTGGTGTCAGCCTAGCTCACAGCAACCTCAAACTCCTGGGCTCAAGTGATCCTCCTGCCTCAGCCTCCTGAGTAGCTGGGACTACAGGCTCGAGCCACCATGCCTGGCTAATTTTTTCTATTTTTAGTAGAGACGGGGTCTCGCTCTTGCTCAGTCTGGTCTCAAATGCCTAAGCTCAAGCGATCCTCCCCACCCTCGGCCTCCCAGAGTGCTGGGATTACAGGTGTGAGCCACTGTGCCTGGCTGGGACTAACTTCAAACAGTGATCATTTCAGATCGCAGGGCTCAGTGAGTATTTCAATGGAAAAGTATTTTTTTTTCCTATGGCTGGTGAATCTTTGAACTGAATGCAACAGTGTTTTCACTGCACAGTTTTCCCAGAAAGTAACTGCATTTACAATGTGGGTGAGGTTTGCCTGCAGCCCCTGGCAACCCACAGCCTCTGTCCAGAGCAGAAGTTGGCCATAAGCCCAGGAAGCAGCTGGCCTTCTGCTCAGTGTCCTGCAGAACTTTCTCCTTCTCTGCATTTCCCCATGTTGTGTCTTGCTGCGTAACAAACATTCCCAACCTGAGTGGCTATTGCATGACTTGCAGTCTGTGAGTCAGGGATCTGGGCAGGGCTCAGCCAGCAGGGTTGGCTTGTGTCTGCTCCACGAGGTGTTGACTGGGGTCACTTGGGCAGCAGCCTTTGGCTGTGGCTGGGCTAGAAGGTCCAGGGTATCTGTGGTGTTGGCTGCTGGTTGAGAGGCCTCGGTTTCCCTCTAGGGGCCTCACTTTCCATCAGGGCAGCCCAGTCTTCTCAACACGGTGGCTCATGGCTCCAAGAGGGAAGAGGCAAAGCTGCTGGGCCCCTTATGGCCTCAGCCCAGAGCTGGAAGAATGTCCCCTCTGTCACTTCATATTAGCCAGCACGAGTCACAGGCTGGTGCAGGGGCCAGGGAGGGGCGGACTTCACAGACAGGGATGGGGGAAGTGCAGTGGTCACACCTACACAGTGCGGCGAACCCAGGCAGCCTCTGCACGTGTGTCTTTCCACCTGCACTGAGCGCTGGGGTGTCCCGGCCATCAGGGACTTGGCTGGACACTGGGGGCTACAGGGGAGTCAGACGTGTCCTTGCTAGCAAGGAGCCCAGCCTGGGGGCTGGGACAGCAGGTAGGCAGACAAAGGATGTGAAGCAAAGCATCTGCCCAGAGGTGTTCCGCGAAAGCCTCACAGAGCGAACTGTAGGCCTCCTGAGAAGGGGGTCAGGGATCAGAAAAGGCGTATGAGTCTTGAAATGTCAACGGGCATTCTAGGTAGCCAAGGGGCATCGAGGGGGGGGGGTGGCAGCCGGCTGGTGGAGGGGCGTCAGGTGGAGCCTGGGGGTGGGGGGCACGAGCCTGGTGGGGGGCACGAGCCAGACCAGCGAGAGGGCAGCGTCCTGTGTCCCAGAAGTCCTCATCCTGAGGCCCAGGCAGACTGGCCCTCCGAGATGGGGTCCTCCTCCAGGGCCCCTGAAGTCGGCTCTGCTGGCATGGATGGGGATGGCCGGGGGGATGCCACTCAGGGGCCTGGGACTGGTGGGCGGCTGTGCTCCCAGGCCCGGCTTGGCTGACCGCGCCTCTTGGGCTGTGACGCTCGGCAGACGCCCCAGAGGAATGCAGGGCCGGCTCCGCTCCCTTCGGTAATGTGGTTTTTTATAGTCGGGGGACTGACTGTCCCTCGGCCCCTGCCAGCTGCTGTGAGCTCAGGATTAGAGGCCTGGCCTTTGCAGGAGTAGGGAACGACCGGCCGGGCCTTCCTCCGGGTGGGGCAGAGACGGGACAGGGAGCCGCCAGTGTGATGGGCCTTCTCTGCGCCTGCCCTCCCAGGTCCTGGCACAAGCTCCCTCCAGGCCATCCCAGCTGGGCCGGCGAGCCCCTTGGGGCCTCCTCCCGGTGGGCATCAAGGGGGTGTCGACCTATCCACGCCCACCCTGCTCCTGGTCAGTGATGCCAGCAAGGGCCCAGGTGGGCCCAGTGACTAAGCTTGAGTCCACCTCTTGGCGTGTGACCGAGGACAAGTAGCTTGCCCTCTCTGGGCCTCAGTGTCTTCATCTCCAAAGCAGGAATGACACTGCTGTATCAGTTGGTTTGGGGAAATTACGTGGATGAAGCTTCACCAGCCATAGGGTTTTGCCCTCCCTCATATGCCGGGAGAGACTGACACGGGCCACAGCAGCACCGCCACGTGTCAGGGCTGGCCCGAGTCCCAGGAATGCACAGGCCTGCATTCCATGAAGGTGGAGCGTGACCAGGCGGCAGGGGCCGGCCGGCCGTAATGCAGAGATTTCCCGTCCCCCACCCTTCCGCTGGCCATGGTGCCACAGCAGCGCCTGCCCTGCGAGCGTGCCTTTCTTTGGGCAACGGGCAGAGGCTCCAGGGCAGGAGAGATTCTTGTGTGCTGACGCCAGGCCAAGTGTCCAGCCCCATGAGGCCAGCGTCAGTGGGCGGGCGCAGCCAGCGGCCTCCCCATTCACGCGGCCGCAGGGATTTCATTCACCCTTGGCTGGGGCTCGGGCCCAGCGGGAGGGCGGCTGTGGGCGCGGCTGCGGGGCGGCTCCCTCGGGGCCCTCGCGCTCTGGCCCCAGTTCCGTGCTGAGTGAGGAACAGTGGTGGGAGCCGCCCAGGACACACACACGACCCCGGGCTGTGTCGTTACCCTGTGGGCTCCATTTTCCCCTGAAAGATGGATCAGGAAGAAGCCTCAGTGGCTGTAGGTGGGGGAGGACACACCGCTGGCCGTAAGGGTGATGGCTGTATCATTTGTGGGGTGGGCGCTGCACCACACGTTTTACAGACTTTCAAATGTAAACCTCAGACAGCCCTGGGTCAGAAACGAGGTTGAGGGCCACTGAGTGTGACTGAAGTCACGTGGCAACATCCTGGGATGTGACCCCAGCCCAGCTCCTGTTTCCCTGAGGGCTGCCTGGCCAGGCTCTGGGGCTTCCTGGCGTGTGCGCAGCTTTCATCCACCCTCAGGACAGCCGTGTGGGGTGGGGTTGCTGGTCCCCTGGTGCAGATGAGGAAACCGAGGCTCGGAGGGCAGAGACTGATCACACAGCTGCCCAGTGGGCGCCCTTATGCCCGTGGAGAAGAGCTCTGGGCTGTGCTTCAGGACAGGATGCCCCACCGGCCCCCTCTTGGCGCCCTGTCCCCTGAAGTCAGGACCACTGTGTTCCTGCAGCGGGGCGTGGTGGGGGGTGGGCGCCTGGCTAGCATTTCTGCATAAGCTACCCCGCCGTTCCCCAGGCACACAGGAGGGGCAGCGCTCAGCCCACACCTCGGGGCGAGTGCTGTGGGCGAGGAGGCAGCTGGGAAGGTTGCTCCTGCGGGCCTGCTGCAGACAGGCCTTGTGTGGGCCGTGGCCAGCAGCCCGAGCAGCCCGGACAAGCTGCGTGTGTTTGCAGGGTGTGTTGGGGTCTGTGGGTGGAGACATTGGGTCCAGGGTCTCTGGGGCCCAGCGTCACAGGGACAGGTGAGCCAGGTCGTGGGGGTCTTGGCTGGAGTTTGTTCAGGTTTCTCAAGTGCCCAGCCCGTGCTGGGGCCACACTAGCCTCAGTGTCTCTGTCCTCCCTCTGCAGGGGCCGGAGTCTTCTTCCTGTCCTCCGCCGAAGGGGAGCACATCAGCTTCCTGTTCGACTGTATCGTCCGAGGCATCTCCCCCACCAAGGGCCCCTTTGGGCTGCGACCGGTTCTCCCAGGTGCGTGCAAGGGTGGGGAGGGTGCACTCAGTGGGCCACATGACGTCCAGGGGCTGATGCCTGCCCCGTCCACAGCTGGGAAGCCCAGAGCCTCACTGGCCTGGGACTGCAGCTGTGGGCATCGGGCAGCCAGGGGCTTCTGAGGGGACAGTCTGTGCCTGCTGGGGCCCGTGCTCACACCTGCAGACACCTCCTTGCAGGGTCTGTGCTGTTGGGTGCTCAGGGGCTCGAGGCCTTCTGGCTGGGAGTCCAGCCCCAGCTGTCCCTGGCTGTGGGTCAGAGGCCTGGGAGCCACTTCCCATCTCCCACCCTGGGGACAGGGAAGCCCTTGCCTGAGGCCGGCGGCTGGTCTGACTCTGCAGCTGGGGGCTGAAAGCTGCCTTGGGAGGGGCGAGGTGTGTGGGCACCACCTCGTCCCCAGGGCACCATTGTCCAGGGGTCCTGGGCCAGGGAAGGTGCTGGGCTGGGGGAAGGGGCACATTGTCCAGGCAAGGCCGGGCTCCCCCACTACCAGCAGGTCCCACTGGGTCCCTGAATGGGCTACTGCTGACTCCTCTCCCAGTGATGACAGCGCTTGTCTCTGTGTCCAGGTGGGAGCCTAGGCCTGCAGCCGCACAGCAGTCAGTGAGCTCACACCTGGTGCCTCCTTGCATGGGCACCCATACAGGCACCCAGGCTGCAGTCTTGACACATGCTGTCCACCCCAGTGCAGGCGCAGGGGACAGCGGCCACCAGCAGGGAGGAGGCAGCTCCCCGGCGCCCCGCTGCCCGGCTCTGCTGGATGGTGCGGCAGCGCCCCCTGCTGGCATCTTCCTGCCTCACAGCCCCGGGCACATGTGGCCACTGTGGCCGTGGGGCGTGCAGGGCATGGTCTGCCCCATAGCCTGGCCCTGCTGGGTGGAGCCAGAACAGTCCAGCAGCCATGGAGAGCCCAGGGCCAGGGCCTGGACTTTGGGAGCGGGAACTCGGGAGGGCACCTGCTCTCTCCTGCGAGGAGTGGGTGCTGGGGACAGAGCTATCCAGAGGACAGGCTCCGTGGCAGGCCGGGGGCAGTTGGGCTGACCAGAGCCCCAAACCCTACTCCACAGACAGTCCTTGTCAGAGTCAGCTGGTCGCTCTTAAAAAATACAGCTGCCAGGGCTTCAGCTGCAGCTCTGCCTTCCTGTGTTCCCCCAGGTGTGTGGGAGCCCCAGGTCACCCTGGTGTGACAGCCGAGTGGGCCACTGAGTGGTGGGTTCCGGCCCCTGCAGAGCGGACTCCGGGCCAGGGTCTGGGGTGGGAGGGTCTCTGTCATCTGCTTTGGCTGGCGTCACACGTAGGCCCATGGTCTCGGAGCTTAGGAGACGTGGCTTCAGCTGGCAGCAGCCTCACGCTTGGGCCCTCTGAAGTCCTCTGGGGCTGACTCCGCTGTGCTCAGGCTGGGGTGGGGCCCAGGGAGCCTGCAAGCCCAGCCCCCTTGATCTTCCACACGTGGACACCGAGGCCCAGAGGCAGAACACGCCCGGGAGGGTAGGGGAGGCTCAGAGGTCTGGGGTCCGCCCTGCTCTGAGCGCTTGTCACCTTGGGCCCTGTCTACACTGGGGTGCGATGCTGCACCCCGAGTTTGCAGACTAGACCCAGAGGCTAGGATGTGTGGTGGAGCTGGGAGTCTGTCCCCATCTTGCTGCCCCACCAGTCACTGGACAAGAAATGGCCAGGAGGGTGTCCTGTGTCTTGACCCTGGTGTCACCCAGGGGCCACTGCCTATCCCCCCTGCAGGGTGTCAGCTTTGGGACTGCCCTGGCATGAGCATCCACAGGGCTTGGGTCACAGGCGCGTCAGCTGCCTCCAGCCTGGACCCTTGGCTGCCCAGGTGCCGTGAGTGGGCCTGCCGGCCTCTCACACAGCAGGACGTGTCTGAGGCTTCCAGGGCTGCAGGGTGCTGGGTCGGGAGGGAGCCAGGCCTGAGCCGGCTGGGCCGTGGCCACCATAGCCTTTCATCCCTCCCAGGCAGAGGGGATAGAAGAGAGAGTCTTGTGCCACCCGGATCCCTGTCCCTGGCAATGCTGCACAGACCCTGGGCTGCAGGGTCAGCAGCTGGGGTGACCCGGTGGGTCCCTCCGGGTAGCCAGAGTGGTGGGCTGGGGGTGAGGCACCCATGTGGCCTGAGGGGTGAGCGGAAGGATGATGACCCGTTAGGGACGCGGCCTCTTCAGCCAGCACAGGGTCAGCCCAGGGAGGGAGGGAGTAGCGCGCTTTCTCTGCCTTCCTCTGGAACTCTCCCTGGCGGGCTCCTGCCTCGCTTCTGCCAGGCCAGGTTCTGAGGTGGGTGCCCCAGGCTGTGGGCTGGACTTCCCAACCTCTGTGCGGGGGACTTGGTGGGAGCTTTTCATGCTGCCGCTGCTCCTAGATCTGGGGGACAGTGGGTCTGGCTGCTTGCTCCTTGGGCAGGTGCAGGAGCTTGACGGGGCTGGAGGAGCCGATGGCAGCCAGGCACCAACCAGTGAGCCTCCTGCCCCAAGGTGTTTCCTGGAGGCCCAAAGGAGGCTACTCTGGGCTGGAGGGTCGGTTGCTCCTTTGGGGTGCCCTGTGGCTCCCTGCAGGGGAACCCCTCTGCGGGGCTGTGGCTGTCCAAGCAGGGGATGAGGCAGGGGCCAGGGCAGCAGAGTGGGTGTGGGAGTCTTGGTGGGGAGCTTCCTGGGGTGAGGAAGGGGGTCTGGATGTCTGGGCACGGGGACCTAGGCTGGGTGGGTAGGGCCTGCATGGGGGTGGCTTGGGCGCCCGAGTGTGGTGTCCAGCAGCTGGGGCCGTGGCGTGGGGAGGAGCCAGGGTTCCAGGCATCCCACCGCCGGACCACCACGGTGGGGCGGGGCCAGGGTACTCGGGCCCTGATGGCACTGGGCCCCGGGATGTCCCAGGCAGCATGAGGCCAGGGACTGAGGTGGGAGCCGCCTCCTCTGCTGACCCTTCTCTCTGCGCAGACCCGAGCCCCGGGGGGCCCTCGGCCTCGGAGGAGCGCGTGGCCCAGGAGGCCCTGGAAGCCCTGCAGCTGGAGAAGCGGCTCAGTCTCCTCCCGCCCACGGGCCGGCCGGGCAGTGCAGGTAGGGCCAGGCCACCGGCTGTGTTGGGGACCTCATTCTGTGCCTCCCAGCTGGAGAGCATGGCTTGTACAGCACCCGGGGCTCCTTCACTCATTCCTCCCCTCCTGCTCACTTACTCCTTCCTCCCTTCCTGCTCACTCACTCCTTCCTCCTCTCCTGCTCCTTCACTCATTCCTCCCCTCCTGCCCACTCACTCCTTCCTCCCCTCCTGCTCACTCACTCCTTCCTCCCCTCCTGCTC